TGATGGGAAACCTCGGCATGATCTCCATAATTAGGCTAAATCCTCACCTTCACACCCCCATGTACTACCTCCTCAGCAGTCTGTCGTTTTTAGATTTTTGCTATTCCTCTGTCATTACCCCCCAAATGCTGGCAGGATTTTTATGCAGAGATAAATCTATCTCTTATTCTGGATGCATGACTCAGCTGTTTTTTTTCTGTGTTTTTGTCATTTCTGAGTGCTACATGTTGGCAGCCATGGCTTATGATCGCTATGTGGCCATCTGCAGCCCATTGCTCTACAATGTCATCATGTCCCCCAGGGTCTGTTCCCTGCTGGTGGCTGCTGTCTTCTCAGTAGGTTTCACCGATGCTGTGATTCATGTAGGTTGTATATTAAGGTTGTCTTTCTGTGGATCGAACATCATTAAACATTACTTCTGTGACATCGTCCCTCTTATTAAACTTTCCTGTTCCAGCACTTACATTGATGAGCTTTTGATTTTTGTCATTGGTGGATTTAACATGGTAGCCACCAGCCTAACAGTCATCATTTCATATGCTTTTATCCTCACCAGTATCCTCCGCATCCACTCTAAAGAGGGCAGGTCCAAAGCCTTTAGCACCTGCAGGTCTCACCTGACAGCTGTTTTTATATTTTACGGATCTCTAATGTCCATGTATCTCAAACCTGCTTCCAGAAGTTCACTTACTCAGGAGAAAGTGTCCTCAGTATTTTACACCACTGCAATTCCCATGTTGAATCCCCTAATATACAGTCTGAGGAACAAGGAAGTGAAAAATGCAATGGTGAAACTTTTAAGAAGAAAAATATCTCCATAATAAATATGCTGTTTATTAAGATGTATCTATGTAATCATAATTATGTTTGTATGTATGTCTTTATTCCTTGACTCAATTAATATACATTATGTGTGCATGTATTTAATAATCCAGATATACACATAATAAAAATAATAAAATGTAAAAACAGGGAAGGTTCTCAACTGAAACTATTCAAATAACATCCTGGCAAGAATAAACTTGGCTATAAGAGGCTACAAAGATTAGATACCACTGAGCAGAAAAGACAAATTCCAGCATTTTCTACTATTCGGCCTACAGGGTGGGTGGCTGCAGACCAGATAAATAGCTTACCTTGCCATGATACCTCTTGATATCTCACTTTCTAGTGTGTAAGTCAGACTGAAAGCTAAAAATTCTACACCTACACTATCAAACATCGTAGACAATAGCCACATGTGTTTAAACTTAACTTTAAATTCTTTTAAAACAGAGTAATATTAAAAATTCAGTTCCTCAGTCACATTCAAGTGTGCAATAGCCACAGTGCAACATGAACAACAATTCCCGTCATCACAGAAAGTTCCACTGGACAGCGCTGTTCTAGAACCTCCTCCATCTAGCGACGATCTCCTTGCAAAATGAACAGTGTCCTTCAAAGTGAACACCTGAGGAAATTTTAAGTATTTTAATAATACTGCCTTAGCCAAACTATTTTTTATCTCCTCTTTTAAAAATAACTTCAGAGGCAGTTTATAGGGAGCAGTTTATTGGTGAGTGACCCAAGATGGCGGTGACCACCAGCTTGATCTCTCAACGCTCTTCACTGGAATTGGCTCTAAAACACTACCAGCTGTTTCCAAAATTTAAATCAGAATACCTCAAAAATATAATGATGCGCAACTACTGAACACAGCAAAAATGTATCCAAGGCTCATGGGGCAATTCAGAGAGTTCCAAAAATTGTTAAGTTATTATTGCTGCAATAAATGAACAGCATCTCCCTAGATGAAAAAACTTAGGTGACTCTGTAAATTCTGGTGCTTTTTTTCTTCATTTATTTTTAAAAGTCAGTCACATTACTTTACAATCTCATTTTCCAAACTAAAACACGTACCTATACGTTAACCCCCAGAATTCTATCTTTACACCATTGAACGATGCAATCGTTAGACTATGTTTTTCAAGCCAAGAACCATTGGTAAAATGTTTATCTCTAGAACTTAAGTCACTTCTGAACAGTCTAAAATAGCTATGATTTTGCTGACACTCTCTCGGATGGGAGAAACGGGCAGAGCTACTTCCAAGCACGAACTGCGTACCAGGGACACAGACTGCTCAGCCATGCAATCCCTTCTGATGCTCGTCCCTGCTCATTAAAAGGTTTACATTTTTCCTCCACAACAGGAAGCTGTGTTGCTAAACACCAACACTAGAGGAACAGTGTTTTTTCTGTGTAACCTACAGATTAATTTTAAGAGACAAAAGCCAGGCCTGAAATAAGCAAAAATTGTTAATTAGAGGATATCCTTAGCTTGTGATTTAATTCTGAGATCTGATCTAAATAACAAGGTAAAGGGCCGGGCGCAGTGGCTCACGCCTGTAATCCTAGCTCTCTGGGAGGCC